ATCTTAATGGGTTTGTAACTGTGCACTGAGTTCGATAATGTTCCAGTGGTCTGTTGGGCATTTCTCCACAGTGTTGTCATTTCCTCTCATCTTCCGGAACCTGTAAGCCTATTTCCCATGCACATCGGTATCCAAGCCTGATGCGATATAAGTGTACTTCTGTTGCTCTACTGCTCCCTTTCATCAAACTAACTGGTTCATAGTTGGTTGAATTCTTGTACCAACCTGCAGATCCTGATGTTGCAACTGCTGTGTTGTGGTCACTGTACATCTTTTGCATTGCTCTGTTTCTAATTACTTTCATAATCTGTGATAGACTCTGTGGTATGTAAATGTCAACATTTCTTCTCTTAGTTGCAAGTTTTGCAGCTTCGTCTGCAGTGTCATTTCCTATTATTCCCACATGACTTGGCACCCAGTTGATAAGTACCCATCGGCCTTGTCGTTTGAGTGTTTGCATCAATGATATGAAATTTGTGATCAAATGTACGTTATCACATGTGTTCTTGTTGCAAGGTTTCAATGGCGGTTCTCGAATCTGTGTGTATGATAACGTATTGTCGGTGTTCAGCAAGAACATGTTCCAAAGTCTTTTGAATGGCTAGCATCTCTGTTTGTAAAGTCGAACATCTATTTGAGAGTCTCCAACTATTTACAGAGTTTCCTGCTTTAACTGCAGCTCCTGTTTCTTGTCCCTGCTGGTCTACTGATCCATCTGTGAAGTAAGTGAAGCTGTCAGATGCCAAGTTTGCTTCTATATGCATCTGTGCAATGTTACGTATCAGATGAGGATTTGTCTGGTTCTTTTTTCCTTCAAGAACCATAATCTTAATGTCTGCTGGCAGAGATTCCCAAGGGGATTGCATAACAAAGTATGCATGAATTTCGTCGACACCCTTCTCAGTGGCCGTGTTTATTTGTGCATGATGTACATGGTCACGTTATCCTGCCTGAGTGTGCATGATGACCCTGGTAATGTTATCCTGCCTGGCTGTACATGATGACCCTGATCATGTTATCCTGCCTGATTGTGCATGATGACCCTGATCATGTTATCTTGCCTGATTGTGCATGATGTCCATGGTCATGTTATCCTGCCTGATTGTGCATGATGATCCTGGTCATGCTATCCTGCCTAACTTTGCATGATGACCCTGACCATGTTATCCTACCTGATTGTGCATGATGACCCTGATCATGTTATCCTGTCTGATTGTGCATGATGACCCTGATCATATTATCCTGTTTGATTGTGCATGATAAAACTGGTCATGTTATTCTGACTGATTGTGCATGATGACCCTGGTCATATTATGCTGCCTGATTGTGCATGATGACCCTGGTCATGTTATCATGCCTGATTGTGCATGATGACACTGGCCATGTCATTGTGCCTGACTGAGCATGATTACCTTATCCTGCGGTTACCTTGCGATGGTTCTGAGAATCAACAGCCTCATGGCCCAGTCAGGCTTCTGACTGGCTTCTTGAGGCCAGATTCACGAAGCAGTTACGCAAGTGCTTACGAACATGTATATCTTTCCTCATTCTTTGACGGGTTTGGTTACATTTATTAAACAGTTTACAAGCATAAAACTTCCCAATCAACTGTTATTATTGTTATAAACAGCCTTTTGGTGCTTTGGAGCTCATTAACTGTTTAATAATTGTAAACAAAGCCGCCAAAGATTGAGAAAAGATGGACAGGTTCGTATATGCTTGTGTAACTTCTTCATGAATCTTGCCCCTGGTTAGTGGTCTGGTCAACCAGACTGCTGGATGTGGCAGCTTGATGTATAAATCACAGCCTGGTTATCAGGTATGCTTCAGCGGTGTTAATCATGTTTTCTTTTGAACACTGTGAGAGGTCGGTTGGTTGTGCCCCCTTATGTTTAGAGGTGGAGTGTTGAAAAGTTTTACGCCTCTGATGATGACCGAGCACTCTCTCTCAGCATATTTATTGCACCTCTGCTTTTCAGTGGGAATGTTCTGCACTTCCTGCTATGCCTTCTGGTCTCATGTGGCACTATTTCCATGTGCAGATTTGGAATCAGTCCCAATAATAATCATAATATTTTCCAAGTTAAAATTATTATGTATCTCTCCTGCTTGCACTCCAAGAAATACAGACTTAAATCCTGGTTATGTCATCCTGGTAGCCTGTACATAGCTCTTGTTACATGACAGTCAATTCTTATCTTAGGCAACATCTGAATGTGATAGCTCGGAAACAGGTTTTGTCATAGTTGAATAAATACAGCAATTATGGCCAATTTCTAAATGCCTACAACTTTCCACTCAGTAGAAAATGAAAACTTAAACAACATGGTAGTTATAAGTACCGAAAATGCAATAATTTCTGAGCATCATTGCCATCCTTCTTCAGACCAAGTATACGGATATATAACTCTGCCAGCTTCCGTTCTTTCACACCATAAGCCCCTCTTGATCGGTCCAGTGCTGGAAGCAATATTCGCAATACAGGGAAGAAGCTATCCGGCTGTTGAAATAAAATAAAAGAAGGTTATCCATTCACAATTTTCATTTAAACAGTACACAGAACAAGCAGCATAAAAATCCAGCGTTTAATGTAATGAAACGCCATTTTCTGGGTGAGTCCCAGAGGCTCCCCGGAGCTATCCAGGCTGAATGGATATGTATAACTTTTTGGCATCAGTCAAAGTGCTAGGAGTTCTTGCCTACCGGGGACCACGAGCCAGAACCTGGCCCCCTCAGAGAGACACGAGGAGCAATGGCCTATAGAAACCCCTTTGTGATTGGAAGCATTCTATGTCTGCCATCGACCGGGACAGGCACCCAGAAAGGTAGGCACCCCAAAACAAACCCCTATTCTGGTGAAATTATTGCTACCAAAAGCCGAACGAGTGGACAAAACTCCCCAAACAAAATTATCAAACTAGCATGACGTCATCACGTCGCCACGCCACCGTCTGCGCAACCCCCCTCCCCGAGAGGGGGAAGGGGGGTCCAGACCCTCCACGCCGGCGATCCAACTGGCAGTTCTTAGGCTGGATGTCAAATACGCGAAAAACGCCGCCGACCGGAGGGAGGGCGGGATGCCGGGAGCCTCCGGGACTCACCCAGAAAATGGCGTTTCATTACATTCAACGCTGGTTTTCTGGGGGGAGCCCCGTCGGCTCCCCGGAGCTACCTCCCCAAAGATAAGCAAAACAGGGAACCGGGAGGCGGATACCACATGTCCTAACTGAACAACTAAAACCAGAGACAAAACAAAGACCAAAACGAGAAGAAAAAGACCACCCAGGCCAACGACCAGGACGGCCCCAAAACTCAAGAGCAGGCCAGAGGGGAACAACGCCCAGGACAGCAAGTGGAATGGAGCAGAAGGAACCGCAACACTGAACGCAAGCAGGAGCGGCTCTGCCAGCACCACCCAACATGAGGTGACAGGACAATCCCAGACGACGGTCCCAGAACAACCCCGAAGGGAATACAAGCCAACCCTATCAAAGACCGAAGGACCCTTCGCAATGATAGGAAAACCACACACTGCCCCCGAGACGAAACACACAGGTGGGAGACCAATAACCTGGTCCCAAGAACCTGGGACCTGTGTTCAGATTCGCAAAACATGAAGCTAAAACCAGCAACCCAGCAACCCAAAGGAGCAACATAACCAGCTCCAGCAGGGAAGAATGAGACACACATCCCCAAGGCATCCAAGAGGATAACAACCAAGGACGAGAACCGCAGGAAAGCAAAAACACCCGGTCCAGAAAAGGAACAAAGAAAAACCGAAACCAGGACCAGAACCCAGCAAACCCGGTTCCAAGAAAAGGAACCAGGAAAGCAGGAGCGGCAGACCGAAAAGTCCACAGCCCCCCCACAGACAGCACAACCCGAAGCCTGCAGAAAACCACACAGAAATCGCAGGAACTCGGTACCAAAACGGAACACTGGAGAAGTTCAAAAGCAGGACGTGGAACATGGACAGAGGCCCACCAGAGAACCAAACAGGATAACCAAGAAGCACTGACCCAGACACATAAAAAAGTGTAGCATGGGGAGGAAAAATGGAAATAAGTAAGGGAACCACGAATACGGCCCAAGGAGCGGCCGGGAAGTAACGTACACGACCAACCACAAAATGTGTAGAGGAGCGCGTACATAGCCGAGGGACATTACGGACAGCAGGGTGCAGTCAGGCACCGAAGATAGGCAAGGAAAGTGTCCAGACAGGGAAAAAACCCAGGGGTCGACAACGAAAACAAAAGCACCAAAATGCGGGGCAAAGCCCCACAGGACAACAAAGAACAAAAGATGGACAAAAAAGGCACTAAAGACACATGCAAGGTGACCAAACACCACACCAAACACCCCAGTCAGGAGCCATCGACGGAATCCCGCCAAGCGGGGAAGAGTAAACAAGGATGGAACAGTGAGCAAGGGTGGCGGAGTGAGTAGAGTATCCCAAGAAGATACTTGCTCCAAACACATGAGCCTAACCAGAGAAGCTAAGCTCTCCAAAGTACCAACGATGGAACTCAAACCGTTCTGTACGTTCAAGGAAAAGTCCTGCCAACCCGTGGAGAACTGTGAGGCGGCGCCCAAGCATACAACCAGCAGAGTAGCGAAGAATAACTAAACTACCTGCAAGTGTGGCCTAGAACAGACATGCGAGACACCGTACCGACACTCAAGAGCGCCCAACCCGCACCATTGCCCGCCAAAATATCACCCGCAACTACTGAATACGCAACAAAAGATAAGTAGTTCCTTAGTGTTAGTGTGTATTGACCAATCCCCACGAAACAATAGAAACTGGGATAGTAGCACAAGCCACCCTTGCGGCACATTGTGGGCACGAAACAACAGGCATAAAAGGGATAAGCGCAGAATCAGGAAAGACCGGAGGAATGACCTGCACTGTAATAGGCCCGGTGACTCGCGGAACCAATTACCACGTAACGTGGTGGTGGGGCCCAACGATTGGTGCAAGGGCGGGTTGGACATGTACGTGAGTGGGAAAGGATGGTAAGAAACAGAAGCTACCTCGCACGGGCCAAGAGGTCCTCCGCAGGTCGACTGTACTTACGTCCGTATGTTTGTACGCACAAGGGGACACAGGAGGTAGTGAGCACCCAAAGGAGCCACAGACACTAAAAGAACCTGAGTAATGTCAGAGGGGAAAGGAAGCGAAAAGCACCAAAAAGCCATGTGGAGGAGGCAGACGCCACCTACAGGAGCAAACGTGAAGACAGAGCCCAGAAGGCTCAGGAAACTGCACAATCGTCAACCGACAGAAGAAGCCGGGCCCAAGAGCCAGAGTCAACCCCCGCAAGCACAACTACATTAGCACCCCACCAAAAGTGAGAACCAGCACTAGGCCGACAGAAGCTCCAGACAAGACAACATCACCTGCAGAGCAGACACACGACCGAACCACAACAAAGTTTGTTATGTTTGCTGATGATGCTAAGATAATAGGAAGGATAAGAAATTTAGATGATTGTCATGCCCTTCAAGAAGACCTGGATAAAATAAGTAGATGGAGCACCACTTGGCAAATGGAATTTAATGTTAATAAATGTCATGTTATGGAATGTGGAATAGGAGAACATAGACCCCACACAAGCTATATATTATGTGAGAAATCTTTAAAGAATTCTGATAAAGAGATCTAGGGGTGGTTCTAGATAGAAAACTATCACCTGAGGACCACATAAAGAATATTGTGCAAGGAGCCTATGCTATGCTTTCTAACTTCAGAATTGCATTTAAATACATGGATGGCGATATACTAAAGAAATTGTTCATGACTTTTGTTAGGCCAAAGCTAGAATATGCAGCTGTTGTGTGGTGCCCATATCTTAAGAAGCACATCAACAAACTGGAAAAGGTGTAAAGACATGCTACTAAGTGGCTCCCAGAACTGAAGGGTAAGAGCTACGAGGAGAGGTTAGAAGCATTAAACATGCCAAAACTAGAAGACAGAAGAAAAAGAGGTGATATGATCACTACATACAAAATAGTAACAGGAATTGATAAAATCGACAGGGAAGATTTCCTGAGACCTGGCACTTCAAGAACAAGAGGTCATAGATTTAAACTAGCTAAACACAGATGCCGAAGAAATATAAGAAAATTCACCTTCGCAAATAGAGTGGTAGACGGTTGGAACAAGTTAAGTGAGAAGGTGGTGGAGGCCAAGACCATCAGTAGTTTCAAAGCGTTATATGACAAAGAGTGCTGGGAAGACGGGACACCACGAGCGTAGCTCTCATCCTGTAACTACACTTAGGTAATTACACTTAGGTAATTACACAGGCGAGCCAAGTAACATACCAGGAGCAGCGCTAAAGGTGTGCCCGAAAGCCATGCATACTAGAGGCAGCAGGCATAGTATGTACCCTTACCTGAATAAAATGCGAGGTCGAAGGAGACATACGGCCAGAGGTGCGCGCCCTGCAGAAGACGAAGCAGTACAGAGGGAGAACAAAGTGACACCCCCAGATATAAATCCAAAACACCCTCAGCATCCAGAGGGCCACAACTGGAGGGAGAAATGAGCAAGAAGCCGTAGAAAACCATGAGAAACGACACGAGCATACCGCCCGTAAACAAAACGCACACCGCGGCCCCAGCACACGAGGTACGAAACGCACCACCCGTCCACCGGGAGGCGTGGCTCGTACACCAAGCGGACACACAAATCGTACACACAACGTACAGACATCGTACAAACACCAGGAAGGCGTGCGGAACGAAGACAAAGAATTTGTTTGTGATGTGTTTATATGTATGTAATAACATGATGTACTGAACGGGGCGAGAATAGCTTGAGCTACCTCATCCCTTTGTGTGTATTTTACCTCAATAAACTTATTTCAATTTCAATGTCAATTTCAAGACAAAGAACGCCGAAACTAGAAGTAGAGACGATGCGAAAACAAAACAAGGCAAAAACGAAGCGAAAGAAAACAGATGATGGAAGGGAACCAACAAGGCCGATAAAAGACCCGATGGAAACCACATCGAAAATCAACAGACATTCCAATAATATTGGAAGGTACGAAGAGACTCGCGAACCAACGAGAACCATGACAAGCACCCCTGACCAAGGAACATGCAGGGACAACGATACGAAGCGGTTTAGGCACTATGTACTAGGTCAATATAGAAATCCATCAATGTTTGTTTCACACCTTGTATGGATGTACCTTACCTGAACACTTTTTTTTTTTGTGAACAACATTGCGACATAAGAGCGAAAAGGGTAAGGAAAAGGGGTGAAACACACCCCCAGGAACGACGGGACCGACGAACCCGAAGGAACACGGAACCGAACCCAGGGAGGGGTATACCCGAAAACAACAGGAACACAGAGGGAAGGAACAACCCCCACTCTGAGGAACTGCCAGCCCCACACCAAAGGTACAAGGACCTATGGGTATGGTTCCTATGGTTCGGAGCAGGAAGCAAGGGAGGAAGTGAGTAGAACAGAAGGGGAGGAACAAG